ACAGTCAACTGTCAGCTGTATTATAAGAAAATGGAAGTGTTTGGGAACGACAGCAACTCAGCCACGAAGTGGTAGGCCACGTAAACTGACGGAGCGGGGTCAGCGGATGCTGACGCGCATAGTGCGAAGAGGTCGCCAACTTTCTGCAGAGTCAATCACTACAGACCTCCAAACTTCATGTGGCCTTCAGATTAGCTCAAGAACAGTGCGCAGAGAGCTTCATGGAATGGGTTTCCATGGTCGAGCAGCTGCATCCAAGCCATACATCACCAAGTGCAATGCAAAGCGTCGGATGCGGTGGTGTAAAGCACGCCGCCACTGGACTCTAGAGCAGTGGAGACGCGTTCTCTGGAGTGACGAATCGCGCTTCTCCATCTGGCAATCTGATGGACGGGTCTGGGTTTGGCGGTTGCCAGGAGAACGGTACTTGTCTGACTGCATTGTGCCAAGTGTAAAGTTTGGTGGAGGGGGGATTATGGTGTGAGGTTGTTTTTCAGGAGCTGGGCTTGGCCCCTTAGTTCCAGTGAAAGGAACTCTGAATGCTTCAGCATACCAAGACATTTTGGACAATTCCATGCTCCCAACTTTGTGGGAACAGTTTGGAGCTGGCCCCTTCCTCTTCCAACATGACTGTGCACCAGTGCACAAAGCAAGGTCCATAAAGACATGGATGACAGAGTCTGGTGTGGATGAACTTGACTGGCCTGCACAGAGTCCTGACCTCAACCCGATAGAACACCTTTGGGATGAATTAGAGCGGAGACTGAGAGCCAGGCCTTCTCGTCCAACATCAGTGTGCGACCTCACAAATGCGCTTCTGGAAGAATGGTCAAAAATTCCCATAAACACACTCCTAAACCTTGTGGACAGCCTTCCCAGAAGAATTGAAGCTGTTCTAGCTGCAAAGGGTGGACCGACGTCATATTGAACCCTATGGATTAGGAACGGGATGTCACTTAAGCTCATATGTGAGTCAAGGCAGGTGAGCAAATACTTTTGGCAATATAGTGTATATATCAATAACAGATTAATCACGATTAATTGTCTCAGCTCTAATATAAATCCTGTCTTTTAAATAGTTCTTACAAAGGAAACAAATCGACCAGATCCAGTTCCCTACTTGGAGTTTTATATCCCATCTCCATCGCAATGACAAAAGATAAAAATCAATAGAAGCACAAAATCTGAACTGTCTACCTGCTGAAACATGTCTACAGATCCTTCAGGTAAAAGTAGGACTTTTAAAACAGATCACAGGAAGGCACTAATGATGTGTTCAGACTGCAAGCGCTAGAAGCAGCAAAAATAGCAGCAAAAAAAGCTCCTGTTGCTTCATTTTTGATGCTTGTCCGCATTAAGGTCTTTGCTATGTTTGCTGTGATCAGTGGATAAAAAGTTTTAATGTTTTTCAGTGAGAAATCCACCTGAAAACTTAATCTCTGCAGTCAATTAATCCTGCTTTAAAATATTATTTTGCTGTGGAAGCTGCTCAGACCCTCGCTGAGAGGCGCTGCACTGTCCCTGGAAATCCTGTTCAACAGCTGTCACTGGCCTGGGCGCCTGTTCTGGGTTCCGCTAATGTTTGCGCCCACGAAGATAAGCGGAAGGCATTTTTCATGTATTTAATCTAAACTGCAGGCACCCGAATGATAACAGCGAACATATTTTGCTGTTGTTCTGTCTGATAAGAATACCCGATCAGACCAGCATACCAATAGTCAATACCCGTCTATCCCTTTGATTTATCCGTATGGTTTTGTATAAAAAATAAACTTTAAACTACCTCAATGGGTGTGTAGTCAACAAAAAAGCAGTTTAATGACTTATTTTTCAGGGTTTTTTGAAGCATAAAAAAAACACAAAAAAGTGTTTTGATGTTTTTTGATCTGACCCCCAATCGTGTTTTTCTGTACATGACTAAAGGGATACACGCCTGTTGAGGTAGTTTAAAGTCTATTTTAGCACAAAACTAAAGGGATAAACTCATATCTGACATCTTGCCCATGCGTATTGACTATAGGTATGCTCGTCTGATGGGGTATGCTGGTTTGACAGAACACCTGTAGGTTTTGACATTCTTTTCTACAATGAAATAAGTTAGGAGTCTGTCAAAAAGTGGTCCCTACAAATCTTCCACAATATTCTGATCAGTTTGGTTTTTTCTACAAAATTCTGCCAGAGGAGAAGCAGCCTCTCATTTATTCCAAACACAGACAAAATCCACTTCACTTCTGTGTCATGAGCCACCCATGCTCCATTTTTTCCGCATGGATGGCTCAGGGGTTTGATGAACTCTCGAGGATTCCTAGTTTGATCATCTGACCCGACCCCCCCCGCCGATGCACTTCACAATTGTAGGAAACACAATCATCCATTGTGCTGAGCTCATTCTGCAGAGCTGGCAATGAGGTGCTGAGCAGCAATTTGCATGACAGAGTACTGCATGGACTTCAATGAGCTGCTGTCAACAAATTACTGATGAAGGCACCCAGATCTGAATATTACTCCCACATTTAAAACAACACTAAAGTACTAACTGGACAACTACTTTGCCAAATAAAAAAAAAACAGTTTATTAATTATGTTATTCTCTATTACCGAAAACTACTTAGCAGATCTAGGTCTTTTTAATTGTTGATCTGTGGCAACATTTGCAAGCAAGCGAATAATAATAAGCATACATAACGGCATGCTGGTGAAGATTCTCAGTCATCCAGGTCATAGTCATTCCAAAAAAGGAAGAAAAAAAAACCACTGAACTTTATTTTTGAAGTCAGAATTAGCGCAGAGTTTCAAAGTCGTTTATAGTCGCCCAAAAACTTTTTTTTTTTTTTTTTCTGGTTAAATTTGCATGTTTTCTAAGCTAAAACAATGTTTTGGGCTACTATATAAAGCTTATAACTGAATGCTAATTCTGACATTTTGAATTGAAAAAGCTGCATGGATGATAAGCGAAACGTCTTCAAACTTGGAAACAAAGTCCAGTGGAATGTTTTTTTACTTTTTTGGAAGCATACATAGCCTAGTAAATGGCATGATATGGTTGTTACATGTCAGGTCCCTGGATTGGCATGGCTATCACTCCCCCTGCATAGTTAGGGACAAATGCAGAAGACAAATGTCCCACTGGGATCATCTTCATAGTCATGGTAGGGCTCTTAGACCATATTTTGCTCAGGCTACTCATAAGAGCCAGAGCCCAGCAAATGTTAAAAGGGCAATATTATTGCCATTACTGATAACATAAAGTAGAAATGTTACACATTCAGTAATAAAATTACATCGGGGATGGTATGGGGGGAATTCAATCAAATTCAATTTATTTATATAGCGCCAATTCACAACACATGTCATCTCAAGGCACTTTACTAGGGCCCTATAATTTCCGTGATCACGGAATCGCGGATGGAATCGCGGAATTCTGTTTTTGTGTGGGAGAAGAACGTTCATCGGGGGGAGATGCACACCGGGGCATGCAAATCTGGGTGACACAACCCCTCTTGCTCTGTCATTTCCCCTCCCCCATCAAAACATTGAAAAAAATGGCGAAGCGGCTTTTCACAAAAAATGACATTTGGGAAAAAATTTAACGGAATTTGGGAAAAAATAAAACTGATTTTATAGGGCACTACTTTCCAGTTCACCAGATCATCCAGTCAGATAGATTCAAAGTTTTCTATCTAAGGAAAACCAGTTGATCGCATTGATTCATTGACTCAAATACAATCCCTCACACTAAGCATGCTTGTAGCGACAGTGAAGAGGAAAAACTCCCTTTTAACAGGAAGAAACCTCTAGCAGAACCAGCCTCAGTGTGAGCGGCCATCTGCTGAGGCCCACTGGGGTTCAAGGAGACAGAAGCAGAGATAGAAAAAGCAGCTGTAAAAGGCGGCCCGTCCAGGAAACACACAGCCAGGCTGATCTCCAACATCTATAAAGAAAGGTGTTGGTGGCAGCAGCACGGCTGATATTTCTAAACGGTCCTTTAAGAAGGGGAAGGATTTTTAAAAAATTTTAAAGAAGGGGCATAGAAATAAAACTGTTGCATCAAAGCTTTTGCTCTTGTGATGAAAATAAGAAATGTCTTAGTATATCCTACTGAAAAACAACACAGCTTTAGCAGCACCATATTCCAACAATCCTCCCTCTCAACTGATCCTTTCTGCAGTCCGACTAGCAATCTCTGTCAAATGTAAAACCTGTGAGCGAACAAAACAAAACAAAACATGACTGACCTGATTACTGTGCTGTGAATTAGAAACAAACACAATAACAGGCAGCTCCTTTTATCTTTCTGCAGTCCCACCGGGTGTGTTGCTGTTTTTTTTAGAAGGTAAAACAGTGCTTGTCAGAACAAGACGTTGTCAAAGGAATGTGCAGGAATGGCTGGAAAAATGCAGGTATTCCTTTTTCCTCCTTATAATTAAACCTCAGTCATTTTTACAGCCATATCAGCCTTTATCAATACAATCTGGAAATCCCCACAGTTAGTAGATTTCATATTCTTATGTAGCAATTAATTGCTAAATGAGCTTTATTTTCAATAGTCCTTATTAAGGAGCTGCAAATTGGAGACACTTTAACAGTGTATAATGTTGAAATAAGTGGGTTTGATCATCCTGGGCTTAGATTGTGAAAATAAATCGACCTCAGAGGCTCAGTTCAGTTTAAACTGATTTAAACATGAGAAACAGGTTAGATAACTGGAACAACTACGCAGCTTCGCTCTTACAAACACCAGACATTTTGGAATAACAATCGAGGAAATAGTTTGGAGTACACTTTTAAACTTCACAATTCTGTCTGTTTTAATATGATACAGCTTGACTTAATAGAAGAATAAAGATATGAAGATAATCCCATGAGCGCTGGCAGCTAAAGCTAAATAAATCAGCAACAGGTGGCTGCTGCTCCACTGCTGCTACTTTGTCAGCTAAAGTACACATCACCCTGCTTCTCACCCCTGCTCACTATGAAGTGTGTGAACAACATCCACTCACCGTCTCTAGCTTCACCAGTGTGGGTATGGACCCTACCGAAAGGAGACGCCTTTTGTCCCCTCGGTGTCCTGGTTAGTCCTCTAACTGCTGTCCATTAGCACAAGGCGGAACTAGCTCCACAAAAAAAATATCCGCGAGCCAAATTAAGTCAAAAAGTTAACTTTGAAGCGAGTAAGGAAGACGTCCAGCGTAAGGAAATTCATAAACTAGTCCGTCAATTTGTCCAAGGAGGACAAGGAAAGTTGTTTGTCGACAATGCGCTGTCAAAAGGTACTGAACGTTAACCTTCGGGGAAAGATTAGACTGTTTGCGCATGCGCACTTCTCCGGGGTAGAGCTCCTTCACCTGAGCTTCGAGTACGCGCCGCGGGCACGAGCAGGGTAAACCACAATAACCACGTGACAAGACCTACGGAGGAAATGACCTTTGTCGGGTGAAGTTGCGTTCATAAAAGTGGTTAAAATGGTTTAGGGCTGGTTAAAATTTAGCCACTGAAACTTTTTTTGTTTTTGTTTTTTTTTTTCAACTTAAGTAAAAAATAAATAAAGTTAAACCCGTCATTCCATTCCTAACAAAGTATACAATACAGAAATATAACCTGAAGTATGAGAAAATAAAATGTTTTTTCCAAATATTTTTTAATAATTTTAATCATTTATTTCTATAGCCGCACTTCATAACACATCATCTCAAGGCACTTTCCAGTTCACCAGATCATTCAGTCGATTTATTCAAAGTTTTCTATCTAAGGAAAACCAGTTGATTGCATCGACTCAAAGGCAATCCCTCACAATCAGCACGCTTGTAGCCACAGTGGAGAGGAAAAACTCCCTTAAAGGGTTCAAGGAGACAGAAGCAGACACAGAAAAAGAAGCAGAGATACAAAAGTCAACTGTAAAAGGAAACACACAGCCAGGCAGACAAGCTCAGTATGGGAGAATTATCCTGCCATAATCTAAGAGCACATAATTTCAATTTGAGAAAAGAATTTAATCTTCTTGCACTCAAAACTTATAATGCTCACACTCAAAACACGCGCTCTCTCTCAAATATTTTCTCTTCTCTCTCAAATCTTTGTTTCTTCTCTCAGATTTAATGCTTCTTGCACAGATATTTTCTGCTCTCGCTTGCCTCCTTCTCTATATACGTTGTATATACGTTTTTATTTTCACCGTGGCTTCCCCCCACAGTCCAAAAAAATGACTGTCAGGTTAATTGGCTTCTCTAAATTCTCCTTAGGTGTGAGTGTGTGCGTGAATGGTTGTTTGTCTCTGGGTTGCCCTGTGATGGACTGGCGAACCCGCCTCTTGCCCGTAGACAGCTGGAGATAGGCATCAGCAACCCTCGCGACCACACTTGGGGTTAAATGTGTCAGAAAATTTATGGATGCATTGATATCTGAAATCAGTTTAATCCCATCCAAATGAATGCCATTTCTTTCAGCAAGTCATTTACATGTGGTGCTTGGATTTTTTTCCAAAACAAAGCTATAAGATGCTTGTAACAAACAGGTGTCAAGCAAAATGTATTCCCTTCTTCTCAAAGGCATTTCAGGAGGGTATAAGTGCAAAACAAATCATTTTTGCTGATAATGGTATATGAATACTTTCATTTTATTGATTATTTCCCTCACCCCTTTCCAGAAAGACATTATATGTTTACACTCTCATATGCAATGATAAAAAAAAAATACCTGTTTGTTGCATTGTATGCAGGTGTCAGGAATATTTTCATTATACTTGTGTAGAATAGCTGGAGTCCACATCAACCATTATATTGCAATCATTTCAATCTTACACTTATTGTTTGTGTCTGAGCTTCCTTACGTGCCTCTGTCCAATCACTTTTAGATACAATATGTTTTATTATTATACAAAAACATAATAGAAAAGCTTTATGCGAAATAGCCAGAGTACATTGGTCTTTTTAACATATCAATTTACAACCATTGTATTCAATTTGTGTTTTACAAAATATTATAGAGCATTTTTAAGATGAACAAAGCATAAAAATCTGAAATGTGGATTGTAAAATTGACTTGTCTTTATTTGTAGAGGCACCTTTGACCGCAAATAAACTACAAAGGGTTATAAGTACAAATGTTTTTATTAAATCTATCCTGGAATTTAGCATAGTGTTCTAAGACATGAAATTCCACCATCTTCCATGTCTAAAGCAACTGTCATGCTGCTTGGTCCTAGTTTTAGATCTTAGGTCATCCTAACATTGTCTTGTAATTAACGCCATCTATCACAACAGTTTATGAAGAGAAAGACACAAATGTGGAATAAGGGTCAGAGCAGATTTTACTTTGTGTGGATGCTATAAGTACAACAAGATGCAGCTTATCTTTCAATCTGTCTGTTGTGAAGAGAGAGAGTTCTATTGTAAAACTCTATTGGGGTAGAAGAACACCTTTGTAAACATCTCCAAAATCTCCTGTAATTGTTTAACAAATAAGTTTTTTTTAATAAAATGAAGCACATCATAGAAAATCCTGAGCATCCAGTTGACCAGACAGTAGAACAACAACAGTGTATTCTGGCAGATATTCTCAGATTTAAAAAATCCTGTTGACAGAGTAGTTTATTAGCATATAGTTAACATACAGTGTATAACACCAACACTAGTTGATTTAGATTTAACATTTAGATTACAGATTCAAGATTTGGAATAAACATTTAGATGTTAACTCCAAAAAGTAAAAAAAAAAAAAAAAAAAAAACTTTATTTCCAAGTTTAAAGACATTCAAAGACTGTATAAAGCCTCAACTCTATTTCTGACATTTTGGATTGAAAAAGCTTCCTGAATGGGAAATTCAGGAAGCTTTTTCAATCCAAAATGTCAGAAATAGAGTTGAGGCTTTATACAGTAGCCCAACAAAGCCTTGTTTGGGCTGGACAGGTATGGGGTAAGAAGCCAAACAGCCCCCCATCCCAAAGGGGTGGATACGTTCACCCATTTCATTTGCATGTTTAACAGATGAGTTCCAATTAAAGGAAAACTGAATCCTTCAGCATACCTAGACAGTTCGGACAATTCCATGCTCCCTGCTTTTGTGTTAACAGTTTGGAGCTGGATCCTTCCTGTTCATAGCTCTGCACCAGAGCACAAAGCAAGGTCTATAAAGACATGGATGGCAGAGTCTGGTGTGGACGAACTTGACTGGCCTGCACAGAGCCCTGAACCTAATTGATAGAACACCTTCAGGATTAATTTGAGAGGAGACTGAAGTCTCTTTCCCTCTGAAAATACCAGGTTAATCTAGGTTTTTCAAAGATGGGTTGACCCACTAACAATCAACATTTGGCTCCCTTCCTATTGGCATAAAATGTAATGTAAACAGAGTTGTTTCTGCTTGTTAGATCAGAAGCTTCTGTCGTGGTGTGTTGATGTCTTTACATTGAGCGCAATGGTATCCGTAAATTGGCAGGTCAACCTGAGTCTGGTTTTCCCACAGGATGCCGATCAGAGCTGAGGCCATTTTAACACCGATTGCTTGCTGAGTCTTTTGACCCGTGTAGACATGCATCAGTGAGCTGTTCCCACTGCTACTAAAAGCCGATTGTTACTGGTTTAAACTGCTTTTTCAACCAGTGGGAAAGGATTATAGGAGCCAGGTCTTCTCATCGTAATAACCTCACAAATGAGCTTATGGAAAAATGATAAAAATTCCCATAAACACACTCCTAACCTTATGCACTGCCTTTGCAAAAGAATCCAGCTGGACAGGGTGGACTGATGTTATATTGAACCTCTGTGGATTGGAAATGGGATGCACTTTGACATGAAAATAGGCTTGTCTGCCTAACTGTTTCTTTCATACCTTTATCTTTGTAAAGTATCTATGGATCTGTGCTTCTATGTGCTTCTTCTATGTCTGCTTCTGTCTCCTTGAAAATCTAGTCAGCTTTGGCAGAAAGCCGCTCACACTGAGTCTGGTTCTGCTGTAGGTTTATTCCTGTTAAAAATTAGTTTTTCCTCTCCACTGTTGCTGCATGCATGCTCGTGTGATTGATTGCTGTAGAGTCAACAACACAATGCAAGCGAATATCTACTGTCGCTGCATGCTCATCTAGGAATATCTATCAATATGTCCTGCAAGTAAATGGGAACAGTTTGGAACAGATGCAATCAGCTGTTTTCTTTAGTAAACTTTGAATGGTCTCTGTAAAGAGCCTTGAGATAACATGTGTTGCGAACTGGCACTATATCAATGAACTGAACTTTATTTTACAATTGATTTGTATATATAAGACAGAAATTTAGTAACTTACACGTAGGTCTCTTTTTAAATGTTAAACTTAAAATCGTTGCTATTTTAGCTAAAACCGAGTCAATCGCTGTATCGACAGGTGAGTCCTCCAGCGTATCCATGTCTGTCTGCCGTTATTCCTACATGTCCCTCCCCAAAAAACACTGCTGTGATGTCATCGGGCCGACTCGCTGGTTATTACGAGACGTACGTATTAGCGGTAGTCTTTCAAAACGGATTTGTTGTAAGACTGAAAACTCTGATCTGGGGACAATCCAGCTTGCAGCTCAAGGATAGAACCATTTAGCCAAAAATAAAAATTTTGATTTTTTTTTTTTTCTTAACCAAAATTCCAATTTTCCTTTGCACTCACCACAAGCATGTAGATGTTTCACTACAGTTTTTATTGTTTCCATAACTTTGAAAGCTTGCTTTTTCCCAATCCATTGTAGGACTTACTGTCACTGTGGTTTGGAAAAGTGCTTACAGTACATCTGTTCACATGCATGTATCTGCTTGCTAGCGGTAACTCCCTCCCCCTCTGCGGGACAGCAAACCAAATTTTAGCTTATTACTGCAACTTAAATAGTTGAAATGAAGGAGGCTGAAAGTCAGGGTCTTACTCTTGTTAATTGCAATATGACAATGGTTGAGTACCTTTGCTATTTGAAAACCGATTTTCGTTTAATTGTTTTTATATTGTTAGTGCAAATCATCACTCGGCCCTAGCATTTACTAACTGCTATGAATTTGTTATTGTCTTTGATGCCATTTCCTTAGACTTCCTTATAATCATAAGTATAACACTTTTGCTAAGATTTGTTTTTCGTCTACTTCAGGAAAATGTTTTCAGTTTTTCAACAGCAAATCACTTCTTATCTCAGTGCTATAGTTTTTTTGGTTCAGGGTGCTTCTTAGTTTGCGCCACTGACCAAGAACGCAGTCCTACAGTTCCTGACCATCACACCTCCTCCTCTGTGTTTTACAGTTAATGTCACACACTGTGGAAACACGTTTTTACATCCTTGATGGTGTACAAAGGTCATGCATGATGAAAAA